CCCTGGACCTGCTGGGGTTGGACCCCAGCACCGAAGCATGTCTGAGATGCTCTGCCTGTATCCAGTTCATCCCTTCCAACCTGGTGACTCTGTTTGGGTAAAGAAATTTGCCACCCAAGGACTGACTCCTACCTGGAAAGAACCACTCCCACGGCAGTCAAGGTTGACGGGATCCCAATGTGACTTCATCACACCCAGCTTAAGACAGCCCAAGCAAAATAGAGAGTCCAGGAATCAATGGACCCTCATTCCAGGCCCTTATTTTATAAACAGGCCCACTGACTTTATTTGGCAAAGAATTAATTCTATCAAGCTTATAGTCCTTAGGGGTCTCTCCCCAACAATGACCCAAAAGAGTCAATGATTTGACTCATGTACATAAAACCAGTGGGGAATGTACTGGGCTGCATATCTGGCACTTTGGCCAGACGGGGCATGCTGTGCTGCCTGTTCCTAAAACACATACATAGGAAGGTACTGACATCAGGCCAGGCCTTGAGATATGGTCTCATGGCCCCTTCCCGGCACTCTGTACTCTGTTCCTAGAACACATAGATAGGAAGGTAATGATGCTATACTGTGTCAGGAACTAATTGTGTAAACAAGGCTTTGTAACTAACTTTGTGGTTTTTGCAAATAAAAAGGCTGTAACTCTTGCAGTCGCTGCTGCAGTTCAGCCTCTGCTTCGGCAGGGTGCTGTAACTGTAGTCAGCTGGCAAGCTTAATAAAGGCTCTTAAATTTAAATTGAGTCGGTGGCCTATCTCGCTGAGTGAACCCATAACACAAGGGAGCACCCATACGACTGTCAGCTGATTTCTCAACAGAAACTTCGCAGGCCAGAAGGAAGTGGCAAGAAATATTCAAAGTGATGAATGCCAAGAACCTACAACCAAGATTACTTTATCCAGCAAAGCTATCATTCAGAATTGAAGGTCAGATAAAGAGCTTCCCAGATAAGGAAAAGCTAAAGGCGTTCATCACCACCAAACCAGTATTATATGAAATGCTGAAAGGTATCCTTTAAGAGGAAGAGGAAGAAAAAGGTAAAGATACAA